ACTACTGAAACGAAACTCAGCAAAGTAGATTAATTAAATTAAGTATATTTTATTAAGTAAATTAATTTTATAAAAAAAATTAATTTAATTAACGTTCTCTAATTCGTTTCTCTAATTAATAAAATGTGCGAGTCTTTATTTTTACTGCGCGATTTCTTACTTTAATTATTTCAAAATCTTTTTTATTGCAAGGTGGTGAGGGTTGAGGATCCCAAGGAAATTGCCTTGGGATAGGAATTAATCTGCGAGTCATTTGCTTTTCGAGCTTTGTGTTGGGGCGACTGCATCGCGCTCGCAGTTAACCAGATTTACTCATTCAAATGTAATCCTCCGCAGGACATCTCACGCGACTTACCTTTTCAAACTCCACCAGATAATGAAATTCCATCGCCACGTGTCTTATCCCATCTCTCTTTCTCTTTTTTTCTTTCTCCTTATCCGCTGTTTCTTTTTATATTTTCGTTTGCTTCTAGATGGACCTGATTCTTTCTTCATCCTCGGACTAGATCTTCGAGGGAAATTTCCGTCAGATAGGAGACTTTCGACAGTATGACGTGAATAAAATCGGGAGAGAATGCGATTACAGAACTTATGGATATAAGACACTACTGCTCCAATTTTTCAGTCATCTGCGAATGGAGCGATTCGAGAAGATTGAATACAAGTGATAGAACTTTTGTGAATTTTGACTAGCGGATTGAGACTACTCACTGGACTATTCCGGGTAGATAACGTAAGTTACTGAATATGTTCATCATCCGTTCATTATTCTCGTCGCATCTTGCAACAAGGCGTTATTGCTTACTCTCGTGGGTGGGACAATTGAACGGATTGATTTAATTGAACAATCGGACAATCGAATATTTAAGGGTATGGTTAAATCCGTGCTAAGTAAGTGAATAAGGAGAGTGGGCAGTGTGAACACCCACATACAGTAATATAAAGCCCTATAAATACACGTATAAGCTTGAAATTGCCTGATTTAGAAATCCCGCAACGTAGACGCGCTGAAATTATTTGATGCAGGACCATTAATTTTAAGAGACGAACCAGACCTTGAAAAGATTTGTCGATGTCGATATGTTGAATGTTAAATCTTGAAATGTTGATAAGTATCCCTTTAGTCTACGGAGAACTGTTCAAGAATTATATAAGAATGACGTAGGAAATAAGAACGAAATACTCTTTCACCGTTTAGCAGCGCTAGACGCTCTGCCCGATCTTAAGAGTTTGTTCTCCTCCGTACAATGTT